AATGGGTATTCGATGTGAGACGCTATGGTGAATAAGCAGTGGGTAGAGACTGGCAAAGGTCTGAGGTGATGACATTCACACAAAATCCAACTGACATTGCATTTCAGATTTATTTTTGGGTAAATTGAAACGTGTGAAGAAAAATTAATGTCCTTCAGCATGGTAGACAGCTGCTTCCAGACACTAAGAAATATTATTTTAAAAAAAACACACCTTTATGTTATTGCCTTTTATGAAGAAGCAGATTTGAAACAAATCTAGCAACTCACTGGGTTAATAAAGCCTGCGTTTTGTGGTTAGTGACTAATTCTGTGGTAAAAAGAATACAAACATCTCTTAATAGGACTTGTGAATGCAGTAGGTGCACATCCCTGGGATTGTGTTCTTTCCACATTGTGGATTCTCTGTGGGTGCTATTTTGAAATAGACATTTCTGCTATAAAGTCTGATAAGTTATATCCTGGTCTGAAGAGAGAACGAATGGAATGTCACATTTTCTGATGCAGATTTTTGCAGCACAGAGGGGATTAAATTCTAAATGTCTCAACTGTTAGAGGCCCCTTTAGATTTGCCCAAAATGAAGAACAAAGAAGGAAAAAGTGTTCCCTAAAGCAATTTGTCAGATCTATTTGAGCACGGTGACGTTCTTCCCCAGCTTGGAAGGATGCTACCCCAAATAAATTCAAGGGTTTGCAACTGTTTAGTGTATTAGAAGAAGATTTCTCTAGTTTTATCATGCATTCCCCATGGAATAGCCAGTGCTCATCCACTAGCTAGTATCAGAATGTAATGGGGGCTGAGGAGATGGTTCTTTTGGTGAAGTGTTTGCTGCAAGCATGCAGACCTGAGTTTGGATTCCCAACACCCATGTGTAAGGCCCAGTGGCTGGGGAGAGTGCAGAGGCAGGGGGATCTTTGGGGATTGCTGCCTAGCAAGCCTAGCCAAGTTGGTGAACATGGATTCTGTGAGACCCTGTCTCAAAAAACTGAGGTGAAGGAGCTGGAGAGCTGGCTCAGCTGTTAAGGGTCCCCCAGCACCCATAGCATGAGGTCTATAACCACCTGTAACTCCAATTTCAGGGGATTTGATGCCACCAAGCCTCTCTGGGCACCTACATGCACGGAGTGCACATAAACTCCCAACAGCATGTGTGCACATAAGTGAATTTAAGAAAATAAGGTGGGGCATGATTGAGGAAGACACCCACTGTGACCTTTGGCCTCTTCATGCATGCACTCATGTATGCTGTCACAGGGACTCCATTCTGACAGACATTGTCAGAATTATCCCTTCTACAACTGCCAGATTCACCATCCTGGACTCCTTCTTTACCCTGTGCATGCCTCCTGGGCTGGATAGCTTTGGTGTCAACCTGACACACCTGGGTAGAGGGAGCCTCAATTGGGGAATTTCCCCCATTGGACTGGCCTGTGGTCCTGTCTGTAGGGTATTTTCTTAATTGTTGAGTGATATGGGAGGGCCCAGCCCATTGTGGGTGGTGCCACCACTAGGCAGGATGTTCTGTATTGTTTAAGAAAGCAAACTGGGCCAGGGGAGCAAGCCAGTAAACAGCTTTCCTCCATGGCCTGTGCTCCAGCTCCTGCCTCCAGGTTCCTGCCCTGAATTCCTACCTTGGGCTCCCTGATGAGGTAGGAATTAAGCAAAAAGCAGAAAAATGAAAGCCAATGCACTAGAAAAGTGAGTGCTCTGCTGTAAACTAAGAGGCATCTTCACTACAAATAGCTAATGAACCAACGCCATGTGATAAATTCATCAACCACTGCATGATGTGAACATGCCCAGCCCCCAACTCTCACCACACACTTCAATCTGCTAATGCAGATACTACCCACCCATCCCTGTGGGGGTCCTGCCTAGTATGGTTGCTCCTCCTCCTACCTTAAATGCTAACTCTGATGGAGGCAAAGAGCTATGAGCACAGAAATGGGGCTATGAGACACTAAATGGGATCATTAAACCTGGGTTGTCCTTTCCTCCCACGTTGGTATTGGTCAGAGTGTTTTGTCACAGCAATTGAACACAAACTAGAACACGTCTTTTGATCTCATTTGCCATGGTAACAAGTTTCTTATGTTTTCTTTCTTGACTCTGGAAGTGTGTTCTGTGTTTATTCTTTTTCTTGGCACCTCACCTAGTCTACACAGGGAGTGGACTGTGTTCAGACCTGCTCATGTGCATCTTGTGTGTTGGCACTCTGTTTGCTTCTCTGTGTCCCACGTGTCTCTTGTAGACACACACTCAAGGCACTTAGCTGTGTACCAACCCCATGGTCTTCACTGAGACCATCATCTGGCAGTGACTGCTGGAGAATGCACAGCCGCGTTGGGTTCTGTTGTCCTCGGCATCCAGAGCCTGCACTTACACCCTCTCTAGTGAAGTTTCGGGGCATTTTACATTAGCACTAGGAGTTACTTTCTTGCTAAACAATGGTACCAAAGCATGTGAAAAAGAGGAAGGACCTGGTCAGGCAACATAGCTGAAATAGGCTGAGGGTCTGAGCTGAGAGGAACACCTCTGGCCTCTGTGAATGCAGTTCCTGTTGGAGTTCAGAGGGGAGGGGCCTGCTTCTCTCCCAGCAGCCCACATCTGTATCTGGGCTCATTACTAGCTTCCCTTTGATGGTCCAGGCAGATGTGAATTCGGGGCACAGCCTTTTGCCTGCCGTTGTGCTGTCCCTGTTTTGAAGTTTCTCGCAAAGTGGTTGATTTATTTTCATCCTGTGCTTGTGTTATGTATGTGCTGCTGTTTCCAGTGGTGGGTTCATGAGGGCTCAGACCCCAAACATGCAAGGCAGTTTAGAAACTATGAAACAGAGAGCTGGGCTGGGCCCTAGACTAGACAAAAACACAGATTCCATAGGGCCACCTTCAAAGCAGATGTGGTTTGGAACAAGCTACTGAGAGTGACACCCAAAAAAGAGAAAGTGTTCTTACCTGTTTACTTACTGGGTGACTGACTTGTTTATTTAGCCATCTATTCTGGTCTGCGTCCCTTTAAACTTGTAAGATCTGTCACCTCATTTTAGCTGTTACCTTGACATATTACAGAATTGTGGACATAATGATTCCACAGAAGAGTGAATTTAAATGCTTTTTCATGATTAGAAGGTTAAATGTGTAAGTCTGTGGTGGTTAGTGGGGAGATAAGGGGTTCTGAGGAGGCAGAGCTCAGGGGACTCTCGAGTGATTAGAAGATTGGGCTGGCTAGACGGAGGAGTGTGAGTTTTACAAATTACAGGAGCTGAGCAGGAATGGGGATATAAAGAAGAATTGGTGACATCTGGACGCTGGGCGTTCCTGTGTCCCGGCCCCTACCCAAGGAGGGGCAGGCCCTGGCATGGCGTTTCCTTTCTCCCTTCCGAGATTCTGGAGTTAATTGTACCAGGAAGTAGCAAGAACAAAAGCCTACAGTGGCAACAGCAAAGTCACTCAGGCTCAGAAAGCTTTCATTTTCCTTAAGTTTGAAGTGGTCAGAGACCAAATTCAGGAACCGCTTCACTGTGTTGTTACCTTGTTGTTTGGTTTTGTTGGTTTGTCTGTTTTTAAGGTTTATTTATTTTATTTTATGTTCATCAGTGTTTTGCCTGCATATGTAGGTGTACCATGTGTGTGCCTGGTGCCTGTGGAGGCCGGAAAAGGGTCTGGATCCCCTGGAACTGGGTCCCATCCAGTCCATTTCCAGCTCTTCCATCTCAATTGAGGCTCATCTATTTGTCCCCTCTGCCCTGATCCAGTTTCCATGTCTTGTTACATGATCACCATTTGAACCAAATGGACTAGCCACTTACTTCTCCCTAACTACCGTTATTTTCCCCTGATCCAAAGCATTTCAAACAGTGACGTTTGACTGTAACCTGTAACTTTTACCTTCTGAAACGTAAACTGAGGGGACCACAGCAAGAATTCTTTCCTGGCTTTCCATCTCGTTGCAGACATGACACACACATCTTAGCTTGGTATCGGAGGCAGTACGTCATGAAATTATCGCTTGCACGTCTAGGTTTTTCTCTTTTGTTCTACACAGTAAAAGAGACTGATCAGAGCCTGAGAATAACCTGTGCTTTCTTGTCTCCTTGCCTGCCTCTTTCATCTAGAAAGATCTGCTCACACATCCGTACCAATCAAAGCACACATTTTATCACACTCAATCTCAACACATCCTTGCTGTCTTTCACCCTGATCAGATGTGGTTCCTTCCGCTTGTTTCCCTTGGCAGCACATTTGAGGCATTTTTCTTAGGCTGTTTGGTATGAAATTTCCTCTTGTCATGGTTAAGATTTTGAGTCTACAGCCTGTGTACAAGTGAGGTTTCTTGCCCATAGAAAGTGCTAGTTACAAAACCAGAAGCGTGAGGAGGAGTGGGGCTGATCAACAAGAACGTGCAAAATGCATTCATTTTACTCAAGTGCATGTTGTGCACCTGGGCCATGTAAGGCAGAGCACTGAGGACATGGGTACTTAGTGCCCCGTGACACAGTACATCTCCAGGAACTGATAACTATGTGGAAGGAAAAAAATAGCAGTCATTAGACAATGAAAAAAGTATGGCCCAATGCCTTTAAAGTAAATATGGGGGTGATGAGGCTTATTTCTGTTGAGGTTGGCTGGTTGGTGGTGAACAGACAGTGATATGGAGAGGGGTCGGGGAATTGGGAAGTGAGTCCCACAGTTGGAAATGTCTGATTTGGGTTTTGCAAACTAAAGGATTGTTGAGGCAGGGATGTAAGGGAGGGAGCAGGCAGAATGGAAGCATGCAGGAACACCATGTGCTGTCAGCAGCCCAGCACACAAAGACCACCCGCTCACCAAATGATCAATTTTTTTTCTGCTCCAATTGAAATGTCCTAAAAGACACAAGCCTTTGATTCTTATGAAAGAGCAAGAAAGGGATCAAGGACCCCCCGCCCCACTGCTGTTAGTAGAAACCGTTCAGTTTTCTTTTTTCATTTTTCCTTTCGTCTCCTTTTCAATGTTTTGCAGAGAAAGTTTGTGATTACGGTGAGCTTCCTGGCCACGTTCCTCTTCCTGCTGGTGGTGCGCCTGGTCAGTGAAGCGAGTTTCCCGTTGCTACTAAATTGCTTTGGACAACCTGGAGCAAAATGGACCCCGCTGTCCTACACATACAGGCAGCCCCTTCGAACTCACCATGGATACATAAATGTGAGGACAGAAGAGGTAAGGCCTCAGAGGGTAACCATGGTAATGGTTTCCTGTGGGAGCAAGATGGCTGCCAACTCCCTGCATTTACCCACTCTGTCCCACAGAGCATCTTTGGGTCCCTGACAACATCTGTTTTCTTAGACTAAAGCACTTCCTGACACGGATATAAAATCTGCCACCCCTCCCCCATCAAACCATCAAGCCACTGGCTTCCTATGGAGTCAAGGAAGCAATTACCTGTTTTCCTGGTGGTTTGTGACTTAACATACATATCTTTCCATTTAGTCTCTCTGATCAGCAGTCACCAGCTGGAGAAGTATCTGGCTTTGTTTCCCGTAGTTCACTTGGCTGGGGATAGCGCTTTATAGAAACTTCAGAAAAGCATTTGTCTCTTTATGACTCCTTAATCCTTAGACCTAGAGCTGGAAATGGCCAAGCTGATTTTAAAATTTTCAGTAGCTGCAGAGATAATGGGATTTAATGACTTTGCAAGTTTGAACGGGTTAAAACCATTTAAATCCTTTGATCATTGGACACTTGAAACTTTGCAGACAATTGGTAGCCCTTGAGAGGATGGCTGAATGTTGACAGCTACACTAGGGTAGGAAGGTTGTGTATGTGATACATGTGTGTGTGTGTGCATGTGTGTATGTGTGTAAGTGCATGTGGGGGCCAGAGGACAACACTGGACAATTTTGAAGTCAGATTCTTTAGGTGCTGTCTACTTTCTTTCTGTTTGTTTGTTTGTTTGTTTATTTATTTATTTATTTGCTTGTTTTTGGCGGGGTGAAGAAACAAAGTCTCTGGCTGTCCTGGAACTCACCAAGTGGAGTAGGCTGGCTGGCCAGGGAACCCCAGATCCACCTGTTTCTATCTCAAGTATGCACCACTACACTGATTTACAAAAAACTACTTAATTGTTTGAGAATTTCATACATGCATATTATACGTTTAGATCAAATTGACCTCCAGCTCCCCCATCCCCCACCACTTTTCCCTCCCACCTTTGCATTCTCTTTTCATAAACCTGAATCTGTATAGTGCTGCCCATATCATATGGGTGTGGAGACATCCCCTGGATCATGGGCCGCCTGTCAAGGGTCACATCCAAGGAGAAAACCTATGCTCTCCCTCCCCCACCCACGCTAGGATTTTAACTGGCTTGTTCTTGTTCATGCTCACATAGCCACTGTTGAATCCCTATGTTCAGTGGCCCTGTCATGTCTGGAAAACACTATTTTGCAGCAGTTCTCCATCTGATACATATAGTAATGTGGATTCTGAGGACTCTAACTTGGGCCCTCATGCTTGAGTGGCAAATACTTACTAACCAAGTGGTCTCCCTACACCTATGCTAGGAGTTTTGTGGGCAAGCATTTGTCTCATAAAATATAGAAAAAACAAAACCCTCAAAAAATGATGTGGAGCGTGCAGAATTAGTGAAATTATTTTCACAGTCATTTCTGTCAAGTGGAGTAAGTGAAATGCTTCACAGTAGATGGGAACTCTAAGCCTGTTGGAAGTTGCTGGTGACAAAGTTACAGGTTAGCAATGTGTCACATCACTGGGGGAGGATTTGGGGATCATATTCCAGCGACGGTTACTTTGTAAAGATTCTAGAGAGGAGTGCCACACACTCCTGCTGCTCCTGTCCTAGGCCACACAAGGTCCTGCCGTGGATTCTAGGGGGTGATCAGCTCCTTTTGTGGCCACTGCACACCCGGCCCTGCTTCCCCCTCATTTTATCCTTTCAATATTGTTTCTGTATTTACAGGATTTACCAGCTTTTTATTAGACCTTAGAGTTGGGCAGGGTGAGGCACCATTAATCACATATAAATTCCTTGGAGTCTTGCTTGATGTTTATCCTTTAACTGGTTTTAAATTAATTTTTTAAAGTATCTATTGCTTGTTGTGTGTCCTGATAAATTGATTACCTGCATAAAAACGTGTCTTTTAAAGGTGAGTTTGCCTCACACACATCTCTCGTTACTTTTATGCCTGGCTGTCATTTATGTTCTATAATTCTATAGTGCTGTGCTAATCATTTCACAAGTGCCTGTTCTAGGCTGAAAACAGAACATGCCGCTAAAGTCTCATGAATTACACTCGTAGGGAATATAACACCAGTATTAAAGTCCTTGGATTTTTCAAAATGTTTGTTAATCGGATTTTAGAGTGTTAAGGAAAACTGACCTAGGATGCAATATTTGATTGCTTATATCAACCCAGCTACCTTTTTGATGCCTGCCATATTTAATCAACGACTTTTTCAAAGGATTCTGAGTACAGGCTGCTTCTTGGGTGGAAAATTGGTTCCTGAAAATTGATTTGGCTGGAGACACACACAGGTGAGGTGTGAGTCTCATGGCTGATGCAGCATTGTACTGAAAAGGCCGTATGTTTAGTTTGGGGTACATCTCTGATTCTGTGAATCTCAGTTTCCTCATTTGCAAAATAGAGGTAGAACAGCATTAACCTAAAAGCCGTTTAGGAGGCTTAACAAAGGCAGAGTGCATGGGGTGCCCAGCTCAAAACTGATTGTGTGTGTGTGTGTCTGTGTGTGTGTGTGTGTGTGTGTGTGTGTGTGTGTGTCTGTGTGTGTGTGTCTGTGTGTGTGCTTGTAGAGGTCAGGGGACAACATTAGGTATCATTCCTTAGGCATTCTGTGCATGTTGTTTTTTGAGATAGGCTCTCTAATTTGCCTGAGGCTTACCAAGTAGGCTGGGCAGTGAGCCCTGGAGATCTTTCTGTCTCTGCCTACCCTGTGCTAGGATTGGGGATATCCATGTCCTGCACCAGCTTTTTTTATTTGAGTTCTGTTGATAGAACTCAGGTCCTCAGCTTTCAATGTCAGCAATTTTCTAACTGTGCTCTCTCCAGCCCTACAATGATGCTTGACTAATGCATTTCTTTGCTTTCTCTATGCTTTGCAGTATGTCTAGTACTGCAATTCTGAATTCCAGAGTACCAGAATTTATAAACTTTAGAGTCCTGGACTCATGGAAGTAAACATATAAAGGGGTTCCTAACCCAACTAGTCATCAGAGCTTTGCAAGTGAAAACCACAAAGAGGGGAATAATTAATTTCAAGGATCCAGTAAATAACAGCCTGGCAAGAAATTCAGAAGCCTGACCATATCAAGTGTTGGCAAGGAAGCAGAGCACTAGGTCTGGAATGCTGGCAGTATGGTGGTGGAGGACTTCTGCAAAACTCATTGCATATTACTGATTAAAGCTGAAGGTTTGCAAACCCTGCACAACCATATTTCCAGTTGTCAATATATATCTTCATGAGAGCGGTTTATGAATCTATGCACCAGAGGCCTAGACAGCCTACATGATACCATTGTCTAGAAGAGCCAGAGATGCTCAAATGTCTGTTAGTAGGAGAGCAGATTCAAATTGTGCCACTGTCCTGATTAGCGTTTGCTCCCTTTACACAACTTAGAGTCACCTGGGATGAGGGAATCTCAAATGAGGAATTTCCTTCATCAGGTTGGCCTGTGGCCATGTCTGTGGAGCGTTTTCTTGATTGCTAATTGATGTAGGAGAGCCCAGCCCACTGTGGGCGGTGCCATCCCTGGGGTGGTGGGCCTGGGCTGTATAAGGAAGGCAGAGGCACCAGCCAGTAAGCAGCTGTCCCTTCCTGGCTTCTGCTTCAGTTTCTGCCCCAGATTCTTGCCTTGAGGCCCTGCCCCAGCTTCTTCCATGATGGATTGTGAAGTGTAAGATGAAATACACCTTTCCTTCATAAACCGGTTTTGGTCAGTGTTTCATCACAGCGATAGGGAAGCAAGCTAGGAAAACCACACCTAGAATTCCACAGGGTAATGACGATAGAGAAGTGTAGGTCCACGTGACAGCACAGGAAAAACCTACCCACAGTGAGGTTCCATTGCTGACTCACAGGATGATACAACTAAGCAGTGTTGCAAAGGAGTGTGCATGCAGGAAAACAAAAGGGTATTGTTGCCATGGAAGCAGGAACAGCAGTTACCACAGAGAGAAGCAGGTGTTTGGGCATCAAGATGGGTTGCTAGATAGCTTCAGTTGTCAGTTTGACAGAGCTGGGAAGAAGGAACCCCAGTTGGACTGGCCTCTGGGTAGGTCTGTGAGGCATTTTCTTGGTTGTGGAGTGACGTGGGAGGGTTGTGAGTGGTGCTACCTCAGGTAAGTGGTCCTGGGTTGTATAAGAAGGCAGGCTGAGGAGCAAGCTGGTGAGCAGCGTTCCTCCATGATCTGTGCTTCAGTTCCTGCCTCCAGGTTCCTGCCCTGAGCTCCTGCCCTGGAGCCCTTAGTGATGAACTGTGATTGGGAAATGAAAGCCAAATAAACCCTTTCTTCCCCAAGTTGGTTTTGAAAAGTCAGAATGTATTATCATAGCAATAGAAAGCTAAGCTAAAGTTGGTTCCAGGATCATGGACTATTGCTGTGATGGACCTGACCATGTTGTTTCTTGGGAGGATTGTAGAAATATTTGGAACTTTCAGCTGGAAATAGTGTTGGATACTCAGAGTTTAGTGAGTTGCTGTGGGAACCTGAAAGATAGGAAAGTTGAGAGAGGTTTGACAGATACGGCCTCACTTTTGGCATTTCAGACAAAGACTTTGTCCAAAGACTTTGTTCACGTGATATTTTGAATTGAGAACCTGGGGTTTCTGGACCACTCTGGCAGAGGAGTCAGCCATGATTAATAAGAGGTAAGCATTGTTGAGGTGAAATCTTCTGTGAAGTATTTCCTCAGGGTCAGCACACAGAAGCCATGGTCCAGAGAGGGCCAAGGCTGCATCTCAAGTTAGAGGCTGGACTTGGTCATGTGTAGGAGGCTCCCACATGGCCTGGGTTTGGGCAGCATGAACCCTGCAGCATTGAAGGGTCATGGGGAGAATCTGAGGCTTTACACTGTGGAGGCCAGAAGAGGCCATTGGTAAAGGTGCAGCCTCAGCTGCAGTGAAGACCTAGGACATTGGCTATGCCAGGATCATGGGCTGACTTCCGAGGGCAGTAGTAGGT